CACATTCTCATGTGAAAGTGACCTAAACTGTTTACAGCCCTAAAGTTTGAATTAAATTTGTGGCTAATTATACCATAAGAATTTTTGGGTAATGCATCTGTTGGACTGCTTCCCATTAGTTGAGTTATATTCATTTTCAGGGTCCCTTAATAAAACCACAGTTTTCCATATAAAATGTCAACATTGTTGGCTGTAATCCCTGATTTTACAAATAATTCCGCATCAATTTTGTTCTTTGTTTAAATGATCATCATAGTTGCTGCTTGTTTCTGAGGTGGCAATGCCAGCCCTTCCTTCTGATAGTAGCATTTATTTTAACTCTTTTGGATCTTACTATGTTATTGCTAAACTTCTGAGGCCCACTCATTGTATATCAATAAAAAATGTTTTGCTGCTGAATCCCTTCGAATAATTTGAAGCAGTCTGAGATGGTAATGCTGATCACTGTTTGAAATTAATGCTATCATTAAGGTACAGACCTGAACAAAGCAATGAACCCCTTTTTTGCGTTTTTAATTTGTTTTCTCAGACAAGATTGTGCTGATTCTCAACTTTGACAATTAAAATTAGAGTAAAACATTCATTTTGATGCTTATAGTGCAAGAATTAAAACCATGGAGGACTACTGGTTGTGTACAATATTTTGTATTCCAATCTCCTGAATAGGATTTTAATTCAGTATTATAGAATGAGAAGAAAACATACATTGAATGGTTAATTTTATATTTTTATCTTGTATTGCTTTATTAAAAAAAATACCATAAAGTGAAAGGAGCCTTCAAAATAATTTTTTTGTTAATGCTTACCTTTCAGTCATTGAATCAGTGGAAAATTCATTTATTGTGAGACTGCAGTTGACACACTGGGCAGCAATCCGAAACACTTCGGTGGGTTTCATAAAAATAAAGTTGTGACAGTGGCTTGTGATTTAGAATTTGCAAGAACTTTATCTTGTCTTGCTAAAATACATAATGCATTCCATACAAAACACAACAAGAAGTCCCTCGAATTACTGTTATGATTTTGGAAAAAAATCTTGAAGTTTGAATGCTTTGGAATTATCTAATACAGGTTTCTGCTGGTACACTGAGATACCCTTCTGTGTATGAACTCACCAATAACAGACTTTATTTAGTCCATGCCTGATGAAGTCTCTTAGAAATATCAGAAGGCACGACATGTACAAAGGATTACTTTGAAATGTAGTGACTGTTATGCTGGAAATGCAGAAATAATTCTGTGCCAAACACAATTCCTGCAACAAAGCAATGGAATGAATAAGTTGCTTTCATTTATCTGAACCACCAGGAGAGGAAAATGGATAAGAATTCTGTATTTTTAGTACAGATACATAGCATATCTCAAGTGTAGGGGCAGCAGTGTAAGGTGTGAGGTGCTGTTATTTTTAATTTATTTTAGTTTTTTTAAGTTATTTTAGTAACTAGAAACATAGAGACACCAGGGAACTCGTGCATTTATGCAGGTTTTTTGGCCAGTATTTAGAATCCTCGAGTCATACAGCATGGAATCAGACCCTTCTGTCCAACTTGTCCATGCTGAACAAGTTTCCCAAACTAAACTAGTCCCATTTGTCTGCATTTGGCCCATATCTGTGTAAACCTTTCCTGTTCATTTACCTATCCAAATGTCTTTTAAATATTGTAATTGTACATGCATCTACCACTTCCTCTGGCAGTTCATTCCACATACAAATCACCCTCTCTATGAAAAATCTGCCCCTCAGGCTCCTTTTAAATCTTTCTCCTCTCACCTTAAAATATGCCCCCTAGTTTTGAATTCCCCTACCTTAAGCACAAGACCTTTGCTATTCACCTTATCCATGCCCCTTGTGATTTTATACCAGTAATTTATCCACCTTCAGACCTTTCAGCTTTGTCAGCAACATCTCCTTAGTGATGGCCACTCCACTCACCTCTGTACCTGAATCATGGAGTTCCAGTAAATTACTAGTGGCTTCTACTGTGAAGATTTATTAAGAGTCAACCACATTGCTGTGGATCTGGAGCCACACGTAGGCCAGACCAGTTAAGGATGGCAGTTTCCTTCTTAAAGGACATAAATAAACAAGGTGGGTTTTTCTGATAATTGACAATGGATATATGGTCTTAATTCCAGATTTTTAAAATTGAATTTAGTTTCCATCATCTACCATGGTGGGATTTGAACCTGGGTCCCCATAACATCACCTGGGTCCCCGGATTAACAGCCCTGTGATAATACCATTAGGCCATTGCCTCCCTGTATTTGCAGCCATTATGGTTATTAGTGGAACTTGCATTTGAGCAGTAATTAGAAGTTTCGCAGCTTAATTTAAAATGTAAGATGAGAAGCCACAGAAGCAACTGTTTTGATACTGAGATATAGAATAGATCATAGAATCCTTACAGTGTGGAAACGGGTCCTTTGGCCCAACAAGTCCACACTGACCCTCAGAGCACCCACCCAAACCCATCCCCCTATAACCCACCTAATCTACACATCCCTGAACACTAGGGGCAATTTAGCATGGCCAATCCACCTAGCCTGCCCATCTTTGGACTGTGGGAGGAAACCGGAGCACCCGGAGAAAACCCACGCAGACACGGGGAGAATGTGCAAACTCCACACAGACAGTTGCCAGAGGGTGGAATTGAACCTGGGTCCCTGGCGCTGTGAGGCAGCAGTGCTAATCACTGTGCCACCGTGCCGCCCCCTGAAAAAGCCTCTTTTTTTTTTTTCTCTCAACATTGCCCTGACCCTTTTGAAGATTCTCGTCTCCTGTCAGTATCTTTTAGCAAATCAAAGATGGCTTGGTTTGGACCAATGCGAATACTTGCTGTCAGTGTCATTCTGTGATTGGATGATGGGATGTGATGGGGTGTACTGCTGGAAATTTTTGCCTTTAGCCATATATACTGTACCATTTCCTTGCTGTGCTCTGTCTAATGACTGGACTGAGAACCTTTTCAACTCCTGTGTTTAAAATAAACAAGTTTAAATTGGGATTCAAATGCAGATAGCGTTCCACTGAGTGCCCTCGATACATCAAGTTAATCATGATTGTGATTGTAAAACGAAGAATAAGATGATCTAATTGAATCAAATAAAGTCCTTAAATGGTCTGACAGGATACTTGATGGTGATTGCTTCCCTTTACTTGGAGAGTCCAGAACTAAGGTTAATAAACTCAAAATATGGATCGCCATTTAGGACTGAGATTTTTTGAGTCAGGATTGTGAACCTTTGGAATTCTGTTTTGCCTATGGCTATGTATATTAAGTCATCAAATGTATATAAAGACGGAAGTTGACCAAATTTTGGATGTCAAAGAGAATCGAGGGATATGGGGACAGAGCTGTGTGATCCAGCTGAGATAGAAAATCAGCCATTGTCTTAAAATGTCAAGTTCAAAGGACTAAATTGCCTGTTTCTGCTACTATTTGATATGTTCTAGACTGAGGCATGCCTAAACACTGACAGCCAAAGTTTCTTTATGCAGAATTCAGTTCAAATATAAAGTGTAGCTCTGTATTCAGAAGTTGAGGCAATTTTCACTGTGTTTTAGGCAATGCATTTCTTACTAAGCCTATGATATCTTGTAATTGGTGAATTGAGAATGGGGTTTGTGCATCCGCTCTCACATACTTTTGTTATTTTAATAAATTCTCTTGATTCTCTCTCTTAGAATAGTTTGAGTTCTGTGTAAGGCATAACCAGAAAGTCCATTTTCTGTGAACCATAAATAAGCTTTTATTTTGACGTTTGATGTTAAGACTGAAAATATTGGGTGGAAAAAGAGAATATTCATGTCTTTTTTGAGTCAAAAGCAACCATAAGGGAACTTTTGAGTTTAATGTGGTAAGTAACAGGAGATTAAAAAGTGTGATCAGATCTACAGCTGGGATGAACAATGGTGAAAGTCTGTGTACTTAGAACACAGTGCAGATAGATGTCTTTTGTTTCCAGCAAGAAGCAGGCATTTTATCCCGATTTCCATTAACTGGGATGAAATTTATTTTGGCGTTTTATCTTGAACTTGTAAACTTGCTTTAGGGGAATAATTAAGAAAGAAAGCGAAGGACTTGTACCTGCATTGCACCTTTTGTGACTTCAGGACATCTTAAAGTACATAAATCTGGCTTAAAATCTCTTCTGAAAGACATCGTCTCTGTCAATACTGCGCTGGGGTTTGG